AGTTTCCAGTGGGCCGTGCACAAAGCCAGTTGGCAGCACGCCTAAGCGGCAGCCATATTAATTTTTCATTTCTCAGCTCTCTGTCGTTGCTATCCAGCAACAATTTTCGGCTGCCTTTCCTTTTTCTACCCTGACAACGGACTAAAAGGGCTATGATGATTTTATGCAAATGTATCTAACAGATCCCCTACTCGCTACAAAAGCTAAATACTTGAGACGCAGATCTTTTGATACCATTTGCCATTTTCTTACACAACGATATCAGCATAATCAAAAGATAAAATGAGCTATAGATGATATACATATATATATTAATTTAAAGCATATGCAGATTGTTGATTGATTTAGAAACATATCATTAGAATACCTATTCAACTATATAGCTATTCGAGTTAGGCACTAGATAAAGGGTATTTCCTATTCCATATACCACTTCAAGTCAAAAATACACGTCATTCCAAAAAATATAAGAGGTTATGGTTTTGAAATAAAAGTTCTTACGCAGATGACCTATATTTTAGATGATCTATATTTCGATAATTTCCCTAGTTTCGATTTTAGGCTTGGGCTTTTGAGTATAACTCTAAGATTACAGATAGCTATGGACACTACATTTTATGCTCAATATTTCGTGTTGTATATTCATTTCAATGATTTCGGAAGCTCTTTCATGCTTCTTATCTTTCTGTTGAAATACAGGGTATTTACCACTCGAGCACTCTGAGCAGATACTCGCTTTGTTTCGTTCTTTTGGTTTTGTTTGCTGCATTTTGTATTTTATATTTTGCTTTTATTGCTTGCGCTTTCGTAAATCTTTCATCACTCGTCGTGATCCGCTCCTTGCCCTGGTGGGTGGCACAGCTGTTGGCGTAATTTCTCTACGTCCTGCAACTTGTCGTCCAACCTCTGGTACTCATCCTTGTGCTTGTCACACTATTTATGAGTTTATTATTTTTTCGCTGCTCCATTATTCGGCTCGCACCCAGCTCGCAGTGCTTAAAACTTCTTTCATTACAAGTGCTGCAATTTCTCATAGTTTTATTTATTTATTTATTATTTTTTTTGTTTTTAGTTTTGTTTTTTTTTTTTGTTTTTGGAGCGGTTAACATTTTTTACCCCTTGCGCTTATACTGCTGTTATTTATTTAGTGGCTTTATTTTTATATTTTCATTTTTCGCCCCTTTTCCGCAGTTGCTTAAATTGTTTGCAATTTTTGTCAGTGGCGGTTGGCGCTGCGTGTTTTATTATGAAAGCAGACGACGACGACGGCATTGGCCAGATAAATAGTTGTTTTATTTTCCAACTAGTGTTGATTTTTATTTTGCTGTTGTTGTAGCCGGATTTTAATTATTGCCATGTTGGTTTTTGGTTACCGCCCTGCACTCGCCACAAATGAGTATTTTGTGCAGTTGCCAATTTGTTGCAGCCAATTTTCTGCTTGGTTAACTCATAAATTGCTCAGGAAACGACATTTTCATAGAGGCTGACAAACTTTTCTGCTGCCAATGATAAGCCAATAAAGTCTCTTTGGCAACTTTATAAGCTTTATTAAAATACAGACTTTGAATCATTGCAAAGCGTTAGTCGGAGAAATCCTCGGCTAATTTGAAGACTTGTCATTCTGTATTTACTCATTCATTATTTTCATAGCCGTGTCGAGGGTATTGTAATTTTGTCATTAAACATATAACGCTTAGAAGGAATCACATCCGACTCCGTGCCATGCCCGCTTTTCTGTCTGTTTGTCCGTTTGTTTCTATTCAAACTAGTCTTTTAGCATATTATACTCTCTTTGCAATGGTCCATATTTCTGTTGCTAGCGGCGTATCACTATGCTCCTTACATACATTTAATCTTCTATAAAAAAAGGTTTTGTTTTCAAATTTCACATATATTAGCCACATCTTATCAGCATCTACTATTATCACATATGGCTTTATAGTAAGAATCTGTAGAAAAATGAGTTTCTCATTTCCAAGTAATCTTCACCAAAATATTTAATTACAAACTTTACGAATCTACTTTAGTGATGTTCACCAAAAAGAGTTTATTATTTTTTGCAATATATAGTAAGAAATGAAAATACTTTAAGCCCAAGAAATTGCCATCAATTTAAAGCAACTGTAATTTTTCAACGGCCCCTTAGTTCGTAAGTATACCATAAACTATGAAAACTCTTGACTAAACTTTACAATCACTTGAGGGAAATGTCGCTCCCCGCAACTGAACTCATCACACTCAAGTTCAACTTTTTGCCCAAAATCAAGCCAAGCGATGTGTTTTACAACTTTACAAGAAGCCCTTAAGCAGCTAAAAAAAAAAAAAGATTTCTTTGCCAAGTATTTACCACTTATATGCATAAAATGTGCAACAGACGCAGTGGCAAATACTTGAACATTTATTTCATTGACTCGCAAAGCAGCATTCTGGGGTGCTTCATGCAAACAGTTGCAGAGTCGACACTCAAAAGCTAGGGATTTCTTTGCCTCACACCTGATTCTTACTATAATTTCTGCAACTTTTTCCCACAACTTATTTGCATATCAAATAAATATAAGATATATACATACGTATATACATTTATATGCGTTAATCTTTTTTGTTTGAAATAGTTACATATACACAATACTAAATATCATTTATCAAAGAATAAACCGAACACTATTTCGATCCTTTAATAGCCTAGTATGCAGGGTACAGAGTTTAGCTATAATATTTACACTGAAAAAAATCGAGTTTTATTAAACCAGAGATGCACCGACTAATCTATTTTCAATGTAAAAGTATTACACTTAATTAGTTTGTATTTATTCATTGCATTAATTACTTGATCTGAAAAAGTCGACCTTTTTTTGTTAATTGGTTACACAATATTATATATTCAAAATTCAATGAAATTGGAAATCAATCTGTTTGGCGTTAAAAATTAAAAGATTGAGTCGTCTTTTTTTGGGGGCACAATTTAAATGGATAGTATAAAAAAATGCTACAACATCTGGCACAAAGCACATCATCAACAACAACGGAAACAACAACATTGGGACAATGCCCAAGAGCAACAGCTGTACGAGAGCATTGGACAACGCGTTGTCATTCTGCAATCCAATATCCGGTCAAATATATTTGCTATGCTTTGCTTTTCACTTTTACCTTTTTTGTTTATTATCAACCGGTGCCAAATATATATTAAATACATATGCGTATGTAAATACCTTATGTATACAGTTTGTGCTTTTGTTTGTACGAGAACGTGGTGTAAATAAATACGTAAGGAATAAACTGCCTTGTGGATTTATTCAAATGATCTCTCTTTTACACACAAAATGTATTAAATAATACACGCATACAAAGGTAACATAATTACACATCACTCTCACAATTTAATTGGCCCAAAAAAATTATTGTCAAGCAATTTGTAACAAGGTTCAAAAAATCAAACACATAAATTAGAGCAATAAGAGAGAGTAAGGCATCAAAATTATATTAAATTACAATTTATATACAATAATAAAAAAAATCAAATTCATGAATCGCCTAAGGGTCGGCATATTAAAAAGAATCACACGTGCGCTTCTTAATAAAAAGTCTTCTTTATGTATACTAAACATAATATATATATTTTTTTAGTTATACACATTTTATATTGTAAATATTAATTAAGACAGATAACAAATTGTGCTGAAAATCACATTTTGTTCCGTTTATTAGTCTAGCTTTGAGTTAAAGCTCTTAAATTCGGAAGTGTGTTTTTCCAGCAAAGCATTGCATACAATATATTAAAGGGATCAGTACCTTCTGGTATGCTCCAAGCAAAAGACTGTACACTAGAGATATAGTTAAAAATTGTGATATTAGAAACTGTTTTACTTGCTTAAACTTTCTCTTTATTTTATTAATCGCTTACGCTCTGATCTCAACTGTTCTGTGCTGAATGAGATCTACATAAAAGGCGGCTTATTCTTGGTTTAAGTGTATTTATGCTAGCAAATACCCTTAAACACTAATGTGATAATCCATAAACTGTTTAAAAGCTATGCATGGCAAGTTTGATAGAAGAGCACAGTCAAAGGCTGAACGGACGGACGGACAGGTGCAACTTGTCGTGCTGATCAGGAGGGTCCTCTGACAACGTTATCAAACATATTTGGAACTGTCAGGAACATTCCAAAATACGCATTCACAGCCAATTGTAGCAAATACCCGTCAGCTACTGCCATGGAAGTTGCTATCGCTATTGATGCGCTGTTCGTTCTGGCTGACTGTTTGACTGGGGTGGTGGCTGTTGATTTTACTACAAAATAAATACGCGCCCAGCGGGGCAGAGAGACAAGACAGAGCAAAATAAATAACATAAAGTCCAAACTGATAAGCAAAAAAGCGGACGTCAGTTGACATACGAAAACCGAAGCGAAACCGAATGAAATCAAATCAAATCAAAACAGAGAAGTCGCCGCAGTTTCTGCTGCTGGCGGTCCTTGATATATGGACAGCTAGATGGCATAGGCACAGATATATGGCAGATATATGTAATATGTAAGTAGATATATGTCAGCGCGATAGTGCCGATGATAATACAAACTGACAGCCATTAGAATGGCACATGGCATGCGTTTCAGCCTCGGCTTGATATACGCGCCGCAATTTTCATTCACATTCAGTTCATTCACGACATACTCAATGTAAGCCGAAACCGAAAAGATGCTGGAAAATGGGCAGCGACAGCGACAACGATTGTAGCGCTATCTCTGTAGGAGCCGAGCCGGGACCGAGACTTCAAATCAGCTTTGTCTCTTCGGATGTGTGTGTGTGTGTGTGTGTGTGTGTGTGTGTGTGTGTGTGTGTGTGTGTGTGTGTGTGTGTGTGTGTGTGTGTGTGTGTGTGTGTGTGCATGTGTGTGTGTGTGCGGTCGTCGGGTTCAGCACGAGTCGACACGGACACGGATTCTGGCTCCCAACATCAGCAGCGGGCAAGCAGCAGCTCATTCGTATTTGCCGCTTCGTGCACAGCGGACGCAGTTCAGAGTGGAAGAGTCGAAAGTCGAGAGTCGCAAAGGGTTCGACGCGTTAGCCGGAAGTAAGGATAATTTTGCAGTTGCTGCCCGTACGGGCTCTTGTATTTCATCCTGTTGCGCCGTCGCATTGTTGACGGCTAAGCCGTTAACCGACAACCGTTCAAAATGGCGCCAGTTGCACACAACAATCGCGTGTCCAACAGACCGGAAGTGCTTTCAGGGCTCATTAATGAGTTTCTTCTTTTTTATTGCATCTGCCAAATGCATTCAAATGTGAAAAATCGTGTATAACTGAGTGGAAAAACTGCCTAACTACCATTAAATCCAAAGATATAACTTTGAAAAACGCCCGAAACTATGCAAAACTGCATCAAAAACATAAAACTGCAGCACACTCACGTATTAATTAGAAAAGCTGGAAAATAACCTTAAAAAATTGAAAAAGTTGCCACATGCAAACGAATTTTTTCAACAAAAAAATCAACGTGTTAGCGCTGGCATCAGTCAAAAGCCGATAAGACAGTTCAAAAGTTCAACAATGAAAACTGAAAATACTTCTACATAAGTTTTATAAATATGAAATTATCGCTGTGTGTCTTGTCTTCCCTCTGTGTTTTTGTGTGATAACAAACTGCGAGAGATACTACAATCTTCTCGCTGCAACAATCGAACGAGATGCAAAATTTATTGCTCACATGTGCCTTAGACAAACAAACAAGAAATATGCAAAACTAAGCAAAAGTGTGTTTCAACAAATTGAAAACGAAATAGTTCCTTGCAAAAAGTGTTCTATTTGCACTGAAATATAATAATTGGCAAAACGTGTTAATGTCTAGGCTGATAAGTGGTTTTAATTGACATAATGCTTCGATGGGATCAAAGCAGCTAAGTGAAAGACACATCAAATCATATTTTAGAAACTTTAAAACTATATTTAAAGAATTTCTCTCAATTTGAATATGACAACAATAATTACAATTTACGTGAACATGCGCATGCATATCTTTGTAAATGTGATGTTTTTGTAAATAAGATCTATTTGATAATTTATTTTGATATTCTAAGGAAATTTTGATGAAAACTCGCTGAGAAACATTTACATTACCCAATAAACTTTCAGTTCATTTCTTAAATCTTAGCCATGTTTGAAATTAACAAAAACTCTTTTATATTTCTGATAATTATAAGAAGAGACTTATAGATATGGAAGGCTCTTCAAAAATTTAACACGAGATTAAAAAGTATTTTTTTAAAAATAGTTTCCCTAGCTTAATGAACATTTCAATAACAAATAAACTTTTGCTGATTCTAATAGAAAGTCTAAAACTCATTAAATACTGAATCATGTCACAAAAAATACAAATCAGAATGATTAGGCTTTTTCTATATTTAAATTGATAAATGTTCACACTAAAAGAGCTGATTAGCAACATAAAAGCCCCAAGTTATAACCCTATTTAGCATTGTTTTTCTAATCAAGTTAAATATATTTCAAATTATTTTCACCATAATTAAACAGATTTCCTATACCAAACTTTTCACATATGCATGTGTTCCGAATAAGTTATGACTGTTACTGGCGCATAAGATAGTTATTGCCCGAATACTTCACACCCTCTTAAGCTGCTGTCAACTGCAGAAGACATGCTGTGTTATACGTACGTATACGTGTGGAGCACTTGTTCAGCAAGCCAACTAACTGCAACTCGTTCACTTTGCTTAAGTTCCCAAAATTGTGCGCACAAGTGGCGAAAAGACAATGGAGCCCAAGTAAAAGACAGCAATTCCAACAAAGGAGCATGCAGTCCCTTTTTTTCCCCTATTCAGGTGTGTTTTTTTCCGGTTTCACGCGGCGTATGATTGTTGGGCCGAAAATTGCATTGCACTCTGCGCTTGTGCGTGTGTGTGTGTGTGTGTGTGTGTGTGTGTGTGTACTGTCCCTACATGCGAAAGCGACAAATGTAAAGTGACATTCAAAGATGCAGTTGTGGAAACAGGTAAAAGCAGCGCCCCAGGAAAAAAAAGTACATGGTTTTTCCTCTTTGGCAAACTCGTCGCCTTTGTTCTGTGTTCTTTCATCGTATTAAAGCTAGAGCCACAGGCAATTATTTAATTTCATGGTAAAATTGCCCACTTGTTGGTTAGGAGTATTTTTTCTTGATATTTGTGTGCAACATTTGACATAATTTGCGGCTGCCGCAACGTTGTCTGCTTAGCGCATCAATCTACTTTAACCCGAAGGCCGCTAAGCTATGACGGCAGGAGTGGAGGAGCGTGTAGACACGTGGCGACACATTTAACTAAGCAGGCAACACCTTGGCGGAAAACAGAAATATGCTCACCTCCGGCCTTACAACAAGATGGAGTGATGGATTTAGCTGTGAATTTGCCGAAGGAACTAGCTGAGCTGTGGGCTTAATGTGAAACGATTTGTGTCATGTTTGATTTAAGGCAACGGCTTAAACTAAGCGGAAGTTAAAGAGGCAATGAGAATGCTCACAAACATGTTTAATATGAATAAGCAGAGTATTCGATGGGATTTTGGGATAACCCGTAGACAGGATACTATTAAAGTATGTTTGTCCTTACTTCTATCATAGTTTCTACGAAATACACTTAATTCAGCGTTAAGCAGTTACAAATGTTTGAATCTTCTGCTATATATAAAAAATGCACTTAAATACATAAATGCACCAAAAGAAATATATTTACACATGCCATCACTAGGGGAAATACGTTATTCAATATGAATTTATGCTTTATGATCGCCGTGACTGGCTGGAAAGGTCTTGATGCTGATATACTCGATTACATATGTATAAAAATATATATGTTTAAAATTTCAACTCTCATACTCTTATAGTTTCCGAAAGTGAAGCATTTTAACAGACGTGGGGACGGATATGGTTAGATCAGATCGTCGTATTGAGCAGAATATATGTGCATTCTTGAGGGAGAGATATGCTACCCTCTGCCAGTTAGATAAATTTTAACAAAATGATCTGTGCCAAAGTGCCTGCTAGTTGATATCAATAAACGAGAAGCTGGTGTTTATATTTGGTTACAAGAGTTTCCAAAATTGTATTACAAATGAGCAGCAGCAAATACTTAAATATTTCACGCAATATTTTTAGCATTCAGACCAAGCTCCAGCGTATCGAATAACCACAAAATAGTATCAAAACAATAGCAAAGTTGGCCAACAATTTAAAATTTATATACATACCACACACAAAAACTTATGTGGGGTGAGCTCAGAAAAAAAATGTATAAAAGTTTGAAAAAACTCATATGTATGCGGATAAATGTTTGTGTATTTATATGTTTATGCATTTTATTTAATTTAACTATTTTAATTATTTAAAATTGTTATTGTAACAATATTCAAAATCCCATACGATATTTTATAGTTTTTCCTAAAAATGCAAATAAAATAGAAATAAATACAGATTTGACGCACAGAAATCTGAGCTGAAAGAAGCATGAACTATTTTATATATGAATTTTAGGCTTTTTAGAGATTATATATAAATGTCTCACCAATTAAGCCAGTAAAAAGAACTCTATTCAATTTAAACAAAAAGCACACATGTCCGACAACAATGAAGCTATTAGTTTATAGGCTATTTGAGACAACATCCTAATTGGCTTTACTAGATTCAAATTTATTCAGGTAAATAAATATTCAATGTGCACAAATTAAGTAGACTCACACATAAATAAATATGAAATTTGTAGTGTTGCTTGGCACAAATGCAGACACGAGCTGAGCTGAGCTTAGGGCCAACATATTGGCCAGCTCACATTATAATCCCCAACACGCAACTAGCCTCCAGGCCCTCTTCAATTACATCAGTTGCTAAGTACTTGTACTATATGCTTTTAATGCACACACACACACACATGCACACCACACTGAGCAGTGTAATTATCAAATGAGAGGATGATTCCGCATGTGTGCGTACAAAAGTTTCTCATAGTTCATTGCACGGGGCTGGGGCTCTGACTCTGGCAAGGGACTTGCTTGCCATTCCCTTTGCCGTTTAGTGCTTCAAATCAATACGCATACGCACTGTTGTACACTGGCAGAATCAGACCCTTGCAAACATTTGCATAATTTGGAAATGCTCACTTAGATTCCGATGCCAGCTCCCGCTTTGCACATTTGCACAGCGATCACAGGGAGTGAAAAAAAAAAATTATGCAAATTTATTTGAAAAGTAAAAATATCCGGCTACGGTGTTCCCATTGGAGACATGCAGCTGGCAACGAGTCGGGCGTCTAACGCCTGGGCCAAGGTGTTCCCAAGCATTTATCGCCTGCCTTGCCAGCAATTTGGCTAACTCTCTGCTCGGCCTTTGCCAGTTTGTCTGGCTCTTTTGGCCTGGCTGTTTGCCGTTTTTATGTGGCTTAAATCGTTGGCATATACCGCCTGCCTTTTCGCCTTGTTGCGTTACTGACCACAGTCGTTAGGCTACTTAGTTTTTTTTATTCCAGTTTTGTCATGTGGTTCTCGTTTTGGTTAAACTTAGTTCCCATGGCGTTGTAATTAAAAAAAATTATGGCCTTAAGTTGTTAGCTGCCTCTCTGCCAACCCCAGTTTAAGAGTTGTGTTTTACGTAAGCCAAGTTTTCAGAGTTTTATACGGCCTCTAATTGATTTATGCACGTGCTGCTCAGTTCTGAAGCGTTTGAAGGAAAAACCTATAGGCAGAAAGTGTGGCAAGTCTTACCTTTCAAGATGATTTTACAAAATTCAGCTGGTACTAGGCAGCTTTCCTTTGTCGAGGGTATAATGCAACCTTCTTACACCCTCTCTCTCGCTCTGCCTCTCTCTCACACTCTCACTCGCTCTCTCTCCCTCTCTCTCTCTCTCTGTTTCTCTTTTTCTCTTTTTCTCTTTTTCTCTTTTTCTCTTTTTCTTTATCATACTTTCAATCGCTCTCTTTTTTCCCTATCAGACTTAAATATCATGTAGCACTAACAGCCGCAATCTTTCGACAAAACGTTATTGCTTGAAAAATATTACTGCAATGGTATTTAAGCTTCAGCCATAGAAAATT